TCGATTAGTGAAATAATCGTCAACTGGAGTATAGAGACTCTAAAACATGCCTTTAACTGATAGAGCAAACCACTTAGAGCAGTATTTATATCAAAATTGTAAAAAAATATAAACATTTTGCATTTAAGAAAAAAAAAAAAATTTTGTCTGTTGACATGCTCTATCTAGAACTCAAGTGGAAAAGTTTGGTTTCACCTGTTTTCACCTTCATATCGTCAAAAGTTTTAATGTGAATGACTTACAGCTAATATTAGGAATGATTGAAATGTCTCACATTCCCTTCTTGTTGAACTTGAGCAAATTAAACGTACAGCATTGCTTCCTAAATAAGTCAGATTACCTTTTTCATGTCTAATGAATTAACAGGGTTACTCATGCCCCAAAGACCATTTGAACAAAGACAAGACTTAGCAGAGATTTAAAATGTAAGTTTGACTTTTTTGGCAAATAAAGGTCCAGATGTTATACAGTCAGGCCTAGTGATTCATCTCAACCGCTCTGCTTTCCAGCGGTTGAGGTAATTTTCTCCTCTTGTCTTTTAGCCAGTGATGGCTGAGTGAATAATTTCCTTTCGGCTCTCTGCAGGCCTTCCAGAAGCTGCCGGACTACACCCTCCTGCCCACAGCCTGCAGCGAAGCGTCCAAGCTGGGAGCATCTCTGTCCTCGTTCTGCCTCCTTATCAACAGAAAGCACACATATTTCTGAAGATGCTCCTAAAAACCCAGAGCTTTTGTTCCCGTGGCTCATAAGTTGCCTTCTGACTGTGGTGCAGCTCTCCCTCTACAGGCTACTCTTTACAGTAAAAACATTTAAACATTTGGTACATGTTTTAAGAAACTCTGTAAATTAATTTTCAAACTTTTGTTAGATTCATAATCAGGCCTAAACCACTGGGTGGGGAAAAAACTAACTGAAGCTTAAGTGCAACTAAAATAACATTGATCATTTAAGGTTTAAACATTTTATTAGCCCTACATGAAAATGTTGAAGTTTGACTTTTTTGATTTCCTTTTATTTGTCCCGGTAAGAAACCCATTATAAACCTCAGCCATGTTAGTCTAAAGTTGTATTTTAAAAACATCTAGCTGCTGATTTAAAAAGGATGTTTTAGCTTTCTACAATTTAAATTTGTAGTTGTAAAAAATAAAATTTAACTGACACTTTTAACCAGACTCCAAGTCTGTTTTGTATAGATGGGATTTCAATTCAGCCAGATTGACCAGAAGTCATCTGCTCTACAGCCTCGTTTTTGAAACTTGACTGCATTTATCTCTCTTCCCCAACAAACCCAAGTTAATCATTTCCTCCGCAGGAGAAGCTGGCTGCATAGTAGAGGTACTCAGACGTTTGATTCTGGGTGGAAGTGGAGACTACTAAAAGGTCCAGGACATAAGAACCATGCTCTTAACCACAACATCTCATTTGTCTTCCTCTCCATTTCAGTTAAATTTACTTTTAACTAAAGGTCTTGCACATAAAGCATCACCAACTTGAATGCTGCTTTTGGGCTTCACTCTGCTGCAGAAGAACAGAGCATTTAGGGTTTATGCTCCCACATACTAAGCTCAGCAGATGAAGTTTTCTTTGGAAGCAACCCAAGTTTCTGCCTTCATATTGGTATAAGTAAACAAACACACTTGTCTGAATTTCTCCAAATTTATTTGTTTTGTCAGAAAGCGAACATGTTTAACGGTTGGACTTGGCAACTCTCTCCAACTCGTCCTTCTTCTTGATGGCGTAAGAGTTAGAAGAACCCTGGGAGAGCAGAGAAAACAAAGTTCAGAACGATGCAAACCCGACTGAATAATCAAAATTCCAGCTCTGATCTAAACTTGAATCATAGCAGTGCTGAGTTACCTTAGCTGCATTGATCAGCTCATCAGCCAGACACTCTGCAATGGTCTTGATGTTCCTGAAAGCAGCTTCTCTTGCTCCTGTGCACAACAGCCAGATGGCCTGCAGGATAGAAGAACAATTAAGTTAGACTGCTGAGAGTCTGAGGTAATGTTTAGGTGTGGTATGAATGTCATGTATCTGAGTTGGTGATTGGCTGGACCACAAACAGATTGCAGCCAATGAATAAGCAAAGACATTTTCTCTACGAGTGCTCTAGCACACCAAGACAACAGGGTTATATCCAGGAGTGACTCTAGCCTCGCTTAGAATTACAAGATGTTTAACAGTTTTGACAGGCAGAATATTTTTTCTTTGGTGGTTAGGAAAACTATCATACCTGGTTGACTCTGCGGAGGGGTGACACATCTACAGCCTGCCTCCTGACGGTACCGGCACGTCCGATACGGGTGGAGTCCTCACGAGGTCCACTGTTGATGATGGCGTTGACCAACACCTGAAGAGGATTCTGGAGAAAAAAAATAAGGCAGATTTTAAATGCAATAAATCTAAAGGAAAGTTTCCACGTCAAGCAAGCCATCAGATACTCCTGACCATTGTTTTCTAACAGTTGTCCAAATGACACATTGATAGAGGTAAATGAAGTTCAAAGTTTTTTAATCTGCTATCAATTGATATTCAGTGTGAAATTATATTTATTTCCTCCCTTCCTATATTCTGCTATCAATTGATATTCAGTGTGAAATTATATTTATTTCCTCCCTTCCTATATTCT